AAAACTTTACTATATCATATTCGTTATCTATGGTAGGTATTTGGTTCTGACAACTATATGATTATATGCATTAACAGATAAATATATTAGAAGACAGAGTAAATAAGAAACAATTATTTGCAATAAAATACATATATACATACCTAAATGCATGCATATTTATATCAGGTATAAATCTATTTTTCCGATACATATCTAACTCTCGTATTGTGCACCAAAAACAACAACACAACGACGCTAAACTCTTCACAACAGCAACAAAAACAACAACAAAAACAACAACAAACAATAACAACACAAAACCCCAAAACAATCTTTGGCACGTCCCTCTCCCTCGTCCCCAAACCACGGCGCTCTCATCGGAAGAAATGCCCCTTCTTCGGGTCCAGGTCCTGCAGCAGGGCCACCAGGTGCGACTCGTCCGCCTCCACCCGGCAGTTCTCCTTCAGCCACTCGTCCACGCGGTCGTGCACGCTCCGCCAGTCGAGCCACTCGGCCGGGTTCATCTCCGTGCGCTCCTCGACGCTCTTCTGTTTGGTCAGGCGGGGCGGCGTGCGGGCTCGCTCCTGCGGGTGGGGAGGGGAGGGGGAAGGATGAGGGGGAGGGGGAAGGTGAGGAGGGGAGGGGAGGAGGGGGGGGAGGGGTGAGGGAGGAGGGGTTGGGGGTTGGAGGGTGGTGGGGGGGATGGGTGTGGAGGGGATGATGGTGGTAAGGGTGGGTGTGAGGGAGAGGGGATGGTAGTAAGGGTGAGGGGTGGGAGGTGGAGGTTTACTTATTTTAAAGATTTCAGTGTTATGGAATGTGTGTGGATGTCTATATGTGCGTGTGTGTGTTTGTCTATGTGTGCGTGTGTTTGTGTGTGTGTGCGCACGTGCGCATGTTCTGTGTATATTTACATGCTGCATGTGATTCTTGCATATGTTTAAGTATACAAAAGTCCATGTTGTGTGTGTGTGCTTGTGAGTGTACATATACACATTCCTCCATCATGTCTCACTCAAACAACGATATCTGTTCAACGCAAAAACTCCCTCGTGGCGACGCACCTTTTCCGCGGAGTTGAACGTGATCGCGAACAAAGATTCATCAGCTGGGAGTATGGAGTGACTCCAGGTATTGATGTAAGCGTCTTCGAATAACTTCTTCCCTTGTCTTGGTCTGAAATTGGGAAAGGATCAGTCACAAGGTATCGGTTGCATGGTATACATATGTATATATGTATATATATATATATATATATATATATATAATATATATATATATATATATATATATATATATATATATGTGTGTGTGTGTGTGTGTGTGTGTGTGTGTGTGTGTGTGTGTGTGTGGTGTGTGTGTGTGTGTGTGTGTGTGTGTGTGTGTGTGTGTGTGTGTGTGTGTGTGTGTGTGTGTGTGTGTGTGTGTGTGTGTGTGTGTGTGTGTGTGTGTGTGTGTGTGTGTGTGTGTGTGTGTGTGTGTGTGTGTGTGTGTGTGTGTGTGTGTGTGTGTGTATAGTGAGAGACAGAGAGAAAAATTTTACTGTTATAAATCAGGATGTTTTTGGTGCTACCTTCCGTGGCATTCTTCTACGATCCAAAACTCAAATAATGACAAAAATGCAGTGGAATGCATTTGCCATTCCTCATGTGATATGGTTTATGAATTTAAATGCTTCTCTAATTTTCTCTCTAATTCTAAGTTTTAACATTTTATTTACCTATGCTTTGAATAATCAGGTTCTGCAAATAGATATTTTCCCAGTACTAGTTACGTAAAAAAACGACAAAAAACTACCACCTGCTTACACTTCTGCTCTCATTTACATTCTTTTCTCAGAAATACGAAAAAAGTTGTTCGTGTAGAATCTGAATTTTTATATGACGAAAACACCGTGATGGAGTAACTTTTAGATTGAATATCTGTCCAGAAAAGGAAAAAAATGTCGCCATTAGAATTTCCAACGAAATTGCATGTATGTACGCGTTTGTGTGAATTTAATGTTTAATGTGTGTGTATATTCAGTGCTTAACATGTGTGTGTGTGTGTGTGCGCGTGTGTAGTTTTAATGTTTAATGTGTATGTGTGTGTAAATTTAATGTTTAATTTAAGTTTGTGCGTTTACATTCACACAAACACACTCACACACACATCTATTGTTGATACAGAATTGATCTGATGTGATGGAGTAACCTTTAAAACAAACTCACATACAGAAAACAAAAAATAACCGGTTGAAAGTTATCGCTAATACACCGAATGTAAACACGAAAGAAAAATTGTAATAATGTGTAGGTAGAATCACAGGCCGGCCTTTCCATAAACTTTTTATAACCCGACCCATAAGATTTACTATCTCAGCTGAAAGAGACAATAAAGCAGGTGAAGTGACGAGTTATTTCCACAGTAAAAGATTATTTTTATTCGAATGTTAGTGATGACTGACTCGAAAATGTAGTTCTATCAGATTCTGAGGGACATTTCGACCATAAGCCCCTGGTAAATCATCACAAGATTTTGATGAGGAGACACACTAATTGACCTCTCTGATAACATGACTGGTGTAGTGGCAATATGTATTTTTAGGTCAGTTTTGTGCCTGCGCCTTTTGAGTACTTTCTGGTTGTTATCAGTAATATTATCATTATTATTGGCTGTATGATCATCACTACTGCTATCATCATCATCATTATCTTTGACATTTTCATCATCATTATTGTTATTACCATTACTCTTATCATTATCATCATTATCATCATATTATCGTTATCATCATTGTTAGTATTAGCATCATTATCATTATTATCTTTATTAAACGTTTTTTTCTCCAGCCATCCTTTGTACAGACCGCCTGATCCTGCGACCTGGCTTGACCTCCCTTTGCTTTCGATCGTCTGTCCTCGCTCGCCCTGTGTTTACCGCGCTGCTTCTCCTCTCTCTCTTAAACTCCCTCCTCTTCCTCTTTTTCAATAATTTTAATTTGTACGTTACGTCTTTTTTCTTCCATTATTATCATTATTGTCATGATCAATACCATAGCTCTTAACATTAACATGATTACTATTATTATCATCATCATAATTAGTATCATGACTATTAACATTTTAATTATCATCATTATTATCATTATTATTATCATTATCATCATAATTATTATCATGACTATTAACATTTCAATTATCATCATAATTATCATTATCATCATGATTATCATTATCATCATAATTATCATTATCATCATGATTATCATTATCATCATAATTATTATTATCATAACATTTTTATCATCATCATTCTTACTAACATCTGAAGCTAGGTCAAATATCATTGCCTTAAAAGCGAGACACCTTTTCTCCCTCTTTTTATCCTATCATAATAATCATTTTTTTTTTTTTTATCATTCGTCCCGTTTGCTGTCCAGTGTTGATTGTGTTGCGTGTCTATTAGTGTTGCTTTTTCTCTTTTTTTTTGTTTGTTTCTTCTTTCTTTGTGACGCGTTCGTGTTATGAGAGAGATTTCTTGCTTTTGCTTTGAGTTCTTGGGCATTTCTATTTATTATCATCATTTTTATTTTGTTATTCTTTGAGGTCATAGGATCATGACTTTTGATTCTTTGGTAAGCTCATAATTTTCTTCTTTAAGTATTTTTTTTATTTTAATTTACCCGTGTTTGTTAGTCAATTTACTTATTTGTTTGTTTCTTCAAGTATATTTTGGAATTTGGAGTAATAACGATAGATAGGTTTTGTTGTCGTAGAGAGGGTGTCCCTGCGTGCTTAAAGCTTATTTTAAAAACTGTACGTGTTGAGTACATTATCTTACAACGTCTCTTCTCCCTTTTGTTGTTAATCCATCTTGATTACTATTTTCTGTTCCCCCTTAAAAAATGAATATGTGACAAATGTATTGTAAATAACTCAAAACGTATCGAGTCAATGAAGAAGAAAAAATATCAAGGTTTAAGATCTCCAATAAGCAAAAAAAAAAAAACAACAAACAAACAAAAACCGACACCACTTAAAAATACAAAAATCGAAATACACACAAACTGAAGAAGGAAAAACAAAAACAAAACAAGGAAGAATGGAAAAGAAGGAAAAAGAGAAAACAAGCAATCCCCCCCTCCCCCCTCGTAATCTAACGACCTCATTAAGCTGTTCAGATGTGTGTGTGGAGCTTGTACGACACATGCACGAGAGCCGTGCGCATGGACCCCTGATAATGAGACATATTATGCTCGAATCTTGCTTGTGGCGAAGTGCTGCAGAGCGTCGCAGGGCAGGTAAGGGGGCGCAGTTATGTATGAATGCTGAATTAATTTGTTAATGGTAAAGTTATGGAAATCTCACACCATATACCTATCCACGCGTATATACACACATATAGAAAATATATAAACACATACATATATAAAAATATGTATGAATACACACACATATATAAACAATATAAGTACACACACATACACACATGCAAAGAAACATAAAGAAACATATATACACATACATTTACGCAAAACCATGAATACACACACACAAAGAAGCATATAAAAACACAGCTACACAAACACACACCAAACATAGAAACACACACACACGCACACACACACAGACCCCCAAACCATACACATCCACAGACCCCCCAAACCCTAAATTACACGCACACACAATAACAAACACACCCAACCCATCTATTCCTCAACATAAAAACCAAAGCCACCTTACTTCTCCTGCTTTTTCAGTTCTTTAGGGAAAGCCACGAACTCAGCGAGGTCGTCATCCTCCTTGGTGCCCTTCATCCTCATCCTGGAAGCTGCCATGGCCACGAAGGAACTGAAAACGACGTTGTGGCTTAAGGTCGGGTCTGGGTTGTCGTGGGAATCTATAGTTGACGGTATATTCCATCGCTGATATTATTTTGTTTTTGTTATTGATCGTTTTAACATTCTTTTCATTATCATTGCTATCGATATTTTGTTATTGTTTTTGTTATTATTAGCAAAACTGCTATGTCAATTTTATTATTGCTATCATTATTAACGGTACTGCTTTGTTATTGTTATTAATGCTATCATTATTATTAATACTGCTTTATTATTGATATCATTGTTATCATAATCACTGATATCAATTTATTGTTAATATTACCTCCGCCAAGGACGTTATGTTTTTGCAACAGGAACACCCAAAAAAGTTATGAATAAGGGTGTGTCTTAACTTAGATATTAAATTTTGGTAGTGATCCGGATGGCGGTCCGGATCCAGGATTTTTTTTAGTGATTCATTAACATTGCGAGATTGGGAAACATTGACGTCACCAATGTACTTTAGAAGGAGGTGATTTTAATGTAATTCTTTGTGAATGTTTTTATTATTATTGTATGTGTCCCTATTACTCTGACGGAGGTATGCGCTTTCTTAGTACTTCCAGTTATTATTATTATTTATTCTTGTATTGTTATTCATATTCTTCTTAATCTCATTATTATCATGAACACTATAAATATTTTCTAAATCATTATCATCATTATTATCATTATCTCTATTACTGATCTTATAATAATCATACTTTTCAAAGTTGATTTATTACTACTTTATCAAGAGATTATTTATCCTTATGGCCGTTTTACTTCTATCATTACTATCATTATCATAATTATTATCACTTTTAGCATTTGTATTGGAATTAACAACAGTTGAACTATCATCATTACATATCTCATACATCTCCATGTCTAACACACATTTTATGAGAAGAAGAAGTAGAAAGAGAAGGAGAAGACGAAGGAGAAAGATCCTAAAAAGAAGAAATAAGAAAACGAAAACGAAAATAGAGAAAAAGAATAGAAAAAGAAAAAAGAAAAGGAAAGACAAAGACAAAGAAAAGAAAAGAAATTAGAAGAAAAAAAAGAAAAAAGGAAAAAAGAAAAGAAAAAGAAAAGAAAAAAGAAGAAAAAGAAAAAGAAAAGGAAAAAAAATAAAATAAAAATAAAAAAAAAACGAAAAGAAAAAAAAAAAGAAAAAGAAGAAAAAAAGAAGAGAAAAGAAAAGAAAAGAGCAAGAAAAAAAAAAAAAGAAAAAAGAAAGAAAAGAAAGAAAAAAAAAATAAAAATAAATAAAATCAAACCCACATCCCCTTCCACACACGATTAAGAAGCACCCCCCCCCCAAAAAAAAAAAAAAAAAAAAAAAAAACACACACACACGCACGCACACTCACCTCCTATCCATCTGGCTAGACGAGAGGAGCTTCTGCATCTCCTTCCTCTGGCCACTGTCCCCCCCAGGCATCCCGAGGACCACGATGTTGGCCACCACCGCCGTCCCTCGCACCTGCTCCACGGCCTTCTGGTACGCGGACGAACAGCCTCGCATAAACACTGTAGAAGGGGGTGCGGAAGGGGGAGAGAAAAGGGGGGAAGGGGGAAAAGGGGGGGGGATGGGGGGGGGAAGGAAGAGGGGAGGAGGTGTATGGGGGAGGAGGGGGGAGAGAAAGGGGGGGAGGTGTGGGGGGAAGGGGGAGGGGAGTGCGGGGGGGTAGGGGGTGGGGGTGGGAAAGAAGAGGGGGAGGAGTGTATGGGGGTGGAGAAGGGGAGAGAAAAGGGGGGAAGGGGAGGGGGGGTGGGTGGAGAGGAAGGGTTGGTATGAGTAAGGGGGGGGTATTGTTGGTTAATGGTTCGTGGTATTATTATTGTTGCCTTTGATATTATTGGTGCTACTTGGGTTACTGCTACTATTATTTTTGTTATCATATTATGGTTGTTATTGCTTTTTTATTATTACTGTTATTATCATGATTATTATGTTTATTATCATTATCCTTATTATTACTGTTATCCTTATTTTACTATTACTATTATCATTATCACAATTATTATTAGTAGAAGTATAATCATCATCATCATTGATGTTGCATATACAAATGTGTGTGTGTGTGTGTGTGTGTGTGTGTGTGGTGTGTGTGTGTGTGTGTGTGTGTATGTGTGTGTTTGTGTGTGAGTGAGTGTGTTTTGTGTGTGTGTGTGTGTGTGTGTGTGTGTGTGTGTGTGTGTGTGTGTGTGTGTGCGTGTGCGTGTCCGTCCACAGCCACGCCGTCCTCACCCGGCTGCGGCGGCGGATTCTCCTGTCCGTTCTCGTCGCCGTCCTGCTCGCCCTGCTTCTTGCCTGTCTTCGCCGCCTTCTTATTCTTCCCCTTGCCCCCCTCCTCCTTCTTCGCCTCCGCCGCGCCCTTCTTCGGCCCGAGGAGCGCCGCCGTCGACAGGGCGCCCTTCTTCCCGACGCCCTTGTCCTTCTCCTTCTTCTTCGCGGCGGCGCCCTCGGCAGCCTCCTCGCCTGCGCTCTCCTCCTTCTTCGCCTTCGCCTCCGACGTCCTTCGCTTCTGCGCCTTCCTCTGGCGCGGGCGGAGGTCGTCCCAGCAGTCGGCCTCGGGCTCGGGGTAGTCGCTGGGGCTCGGCGGCGAGTAGTACTCGGGCGCCTGCTGCAGGAGGGCCGTGACGGAGCCGCGCCGCCCGCTCTCCAT